CTGGATTTGAATTTGACTGGACTTAAACTTAATATATTTCCACAAAAATTGTAATTTTTCATTGTCAAGACCACTCAAATCCAATCAAACCCAAATCCAAATACAGTTAAAACTAGGAATCAGATTTGATGCATCGTCAATATCCATCGTTGTGATTCTTTTGTTTCTCCAATCATTTCTACTATTCTCATTGTAATGTACCGTTACCGTGCCATCATGATTATTCTGTTACCAACTCATAACGAAATCTTTCTTGTTCTTCTATTATGTCACATTTGTTAGATAAATAAAAAAGCTTTTTATAAAACGAAACTTTTGATTCCAATGAGCAGGGCGCACAGGTCTTGCCCTGCCCTGTAAAATAGTAGGGCAGGGCAGGGCCGCCCTGCCCTGTGGACATCTCTGATTACTAGGCATGAAACAGCCTTACAAAGAGACGTTCCCAAGTGATCCACTCAGTCTAGTCCCATCTTTTGTCAATATGTAGAAGATTATTAGAGTAGCGTAACCTCGAAATATATTCTGTTCATACTTAAATTTGATCAAAATAGCAACTTTTTAGTAGATTTCTCCTCAGACTATTTCATATATAATGTTTCATCAATATTGGATACCACATTGCTCAGATAGAGGTTTCTCGATATGCATATCTTTAACATACGCATCACTTAGAGATAAGTGTAGATATATTGAGAAACCTCTATCTTAGTAATGCGACATCCAAAACTGATGAAATTATGTACACGAGATAGATTAATAGAAATCCTCATGTACATAAAGTTTCAGGTCAAAAACTGGATTTCTGCAAAAGGAATCTACTAAAAAATGTCTATCTCGACCAAATTGAAGCATGAGAAAAAAAAACCTTTTGAAAGTTACATTACTCTAGTGATCTCCTACATATTCGCGAAATATGGCTGCAAACGCAGAAGATCACTTGGGAATGTTTTCTTATTAGTAAACTTGAGTGCAATGTGTTTCTAGCAAAAGTTATGAATTTTCTTAGTTTATTCGAAAAAATGCGAGTTGTTTATTATCAGCTAAAAATTTCAGCTGAAAGGAATAAAGATTCGGGGAGATAGAAAATATTGCCTTCGAATCTTTTGTTTGTCATATTGCACTTCCAGTTGTAACTATAGGTTGTTCTTTGAATCAGTGTAGATGTGTGTGTGAAGATTCTCTAGTACTATATAAATGAATACTCGTATTCTCAGTCGAAAGAGTTTTAAACATCTCAAAGGTTTTCTCGTGAATTATTAACGAAAATTGCCATCGGAAGTGTTCAGATTTTCTTTACTACTATATGTTCAACTATATTCGACATTAAATAACTATGAACGCTAATAAGTGGTTCAAAATAAAGTCTTCTAATAATTTTTAGTATTTTTACAAGTTTTATAATTAGACAATAAATATCAAAAATGTATATTTACTTTTGGTCCTATCATTTCGACAAATCTATAACTCATCATTATTGATGAATTTCCTATAAAGACATGATTATGTCATAAATTAGTATCGAAGAGCACCAGCAACATATTCTTTTTTGCAAATAACAAATACTGCTTCAGATTGCTTAGAGGGACATGGTATTTCTCCTCGTTAGTTTGCTTTCAATGAATTTTTGAAAGAACATGCGACTGCAGTTTTTACGCCTGTTATAAAAACATTAGAGTTTTTCATATTATAAACCAACAAAGAAGTTTTAAAAAATACAAAGGTAATTTTGTCTAAAGTTTCATAGAAATTTACTCTAAAGCTTCTGCCTTTTAGAAAATATATATTTCAAGAATATATGAATTCATATGAACTTTCCTAAACAAATAGCATTGTATTTCTAAATTAGAACCTATTCCAAGTTGAAGAATTAGTTATAATTTATCATTTTCCCCAATTATAGATAATATTTATCTAAACCTACATGATTTACAGCTTGAACGTTGCCTAGAAGCTAGAAAAAAGAACATTATAACACAATCACAATATGAAAAACTTACTAACATTATTTTTTTGAAGAAAATACTAATTAAAACTTCGATTCCATCATAACGGATTTGATGTTTAAATCTGACAGATCTGTTACACAAAGCAAACACTAAAAAAATAACAATAAACTATACTCAAATATGCGATTCATTTTAGATGTAGGAGAACATCATTCGAATAAAAACATGTTATTTGTTAAAATCATAAATAAGATCAAATGTTAGTCTTTTTCAACTTAAAACTCAATTCTAAATGTTTCCGATGATAATCAAACAGAAAAAGTAGAAAATACTCAAGTTCATAGAAATATATTGGTATGACAAAAGTTATATATTAAAATTAATTTTCTTTCGTCTTACGTCCTTTTTTTTTTCATTATGAGAATGTCACTACAATAAATAGTTCCTGAAGAGTTTCATTTTTTTTAATACTGTTAGCCTTTCTTGACACTAGCCTTAGTTTATCTACTGTTTCTTGTACATTCTTGAATTTTATACTAACTTCACGTTTATAAATTAAACGATATAAGTTACAGTTCATGAACGTCAATTTTACAAACCATCACTATTATTTAAATGGTATTTGTCGATTGAAAAATCTTTCTTGACATTTTGCCTGGATACTGATTGTTAATAGTCAAAAACTATCATCGATTATAGAGACAACAATATATTGAATCTTCTTATTGTCACATTGACTTTGTTAATCATATCAGTGATTCAAAGTCCATAAGTTGCATATTATCTTATCTGAACCTTGTATTACTTGTCCGAAGATCTCTAGATTTATTCTCGTGATTGATATTATTTTTCTGATTTTATTTAGTCATGCTCTTCTAGCTGTCGGCTATAGTGATCAATCAAACTCATTTATTGTTCGAAATTCTTGGGGAAAATATTGGGTATGATAGAACAGTTGTCTCCATTAGATAAATTGAAACAAATACCTTTTTTTTTTCAGGGAGATGAAGGCTACTGTTATATTCCATACGACTATATGACAAATCAAAATCTTTGTTTTGATGCATGGACTGTTCGTCAATTAGCAAGCGATGATTTTGGTCAGGATCATTGGGATAACGATGATTCAGTTGATTATCATCCTGTAGATGAAAATTCTTATGATAACAACGATAACAATACGGTCATTGAACAGGGCAATAACATAGATGATGTTCTTGATAAGGCAAAAGGTTTCGCCGAGCAACTTTTGGGATCATTCATTTCACTAGCATTGTGACATTTTTAATGTTATTTGAGGCTAAGAATTTGCTTAATTTTACTATAAAATTATTCACATAGAGAACTGTGGAACGTAAATATAAGACAACAAAGTTACATATCTATTTTGAAAATTCTCCTAAAGCCTTGATCATTTTTTTAAAGATGCTGAAGATTTTGTTGAACAATTACGCTTTTGAATATATTGAAACTTATTCGTTCTAGTATGATAGTAATTGTCGATTACGATCATACTTTCGAAAAGTGAATAAGAAAAGTAATGGTATTCTTAATATTCGACAAGAAAATTTAGTAACCAATTTTAAATAATTTTTACAATGAACCATTTAATAAAGCATTATGATATCATCTAATAAAGTTTTGCCATATTTTATACCTGAAATAATTTTCAAATTTCTTCTGTGCCTCTTCAAATAATCTTATTATAATTAACGACAGTGCTAAACTATGAATATAGGTTAGACATCAATAAGTTCATGTCTAATAAGCGAATGATACTAGATACTATAAAATATGATGTTAATCATTTCTCGAAGACTATTCATTAATTTCATCATAATCATAATTAATTAAATTGATAAAATCGACAACAAACAAGGAGAAAACTTTTTCAAAACAATATGAATGATCAAACTAGCTACTCGAACACAACATTTATCATAGTGTAAAAAGAATATAGAGATTTTGAAAACATAATGAGAGAAGCAAGGACGAATACAACTGATCGACGAAAACGTCAAACAAAGAAGATGATACAATTTAAATGTTCGGTCTCTCATACATAACTATCAATTAATATTTGTCCACCACACCATCGAATCATTTTCTCAATAGTTAACATGATTTGTAACATCCAAGGAATTTCTTCATTCCATTTCGATT